CCACAATCAAAACTGCTCAAAATTGATTGGTTCTATAATATGCAATATGTATTTAATGTGCGTGAAGATGGGGACAACTATTTGTAAGAAACTACAGACAATTAGATAAACAGTGAAGATCTCCAGTGGACTTGCTTTGAAATCTGTATTTCTTTTCTTTAAATTGTTTTAACTGTTTTGTTCTGTTTTGATATGTTTAATCTTACCCTCTTTGAGATACAAAACAAGTGTGTAGGACTGATAACCATATTACTGAGTTTTTGTTTGATCATTGAGAACTGTTTGCAGTGTCACTTTTTGAATGTCATTTTACATACTTTAATTTTGTAACCTTAACAGCTATTTCTAAGATGACAATATGTAACTTATCAACTAGCAATTTCTTACTGTTTATTTTTCTGTAATTTTGTATTATTTCTACCCTTTTTATCTCCATGTATTTTTTTGTTTCCTTTTTTTTAAATTAAAAAAAATGATCAAAAGCCTGAAACTTTCTGAATGCTGTCATAAATCCACAACAGAAAGCTAGGGGTGGCAGCACACACCGGTAATCAATCACAGCACTTGGGAGGCTGAGATAGGAGTATGGCTGGGAGTTCAAGGCCAGCATGTGCTACAAAGTAAGTTCAAGGCCAGCCTGAACTGCATAGGAAGACCCTGTCTCAAAAAAACAAACAGGGGCTGGGGATTTAGTTCAGCGGCATAAGCACCTGCCTTGCAAGCAGGCAGTCACGAATTCTATCCCTGGTACTGATAAAAAGGAAAAAGACAAAAAACAAAAACAAAAACAAAAAAAAACCCCAAAAAACCAAAACAGCAACAAAACAAATGGAGAGTTCTATGGCTGATACTATGTCTGAATTATAGTCAAAGCACAGATACACTAAAATTGTATAGAATTACTTTCTGGCCAGTTATGTAAGGTATATATGAAATATAAATGAATTTTGTGTTTAGTTTAGGTCCCAACCCCAAGAGACTTCCTTATGTAAATATTCCAAAATCCAAAAAATTCTGAAATCTAAAACACTTCTGGCCCCAAGCTTTCAGGAAAACTTGTCCTGTATTTATTAGCACAACTACAATCTGTACCTGATACTACGGCCACCCTATACCTTTGCATAACAGACCATGATCAAGACAGGATTGCCAAATAAACCAGCACTCTGGAGGCTGAAACAGGAGAATTGCTGTGAGCTCAAGGTCAGCCCCGGTTACACAGTGTGTTTAAGGCCAGCCTGAACAGCATAGCAAGACCCTGTCTCAAAAAACCAACCTACCAAACAAACAAACAAAAGGACAGGGCTAAGTGTCATTTTAGCCCTCCCCCTTTGTATCCTGGCAGTTTTACGGTTTTAATAAGCAGATGACTCAAGCCTACTACAAATGCAGAATAGAACAAGGGCAGTAAATTTAGGTAACTGTTGAACCTGGATGATAAGTATTCGGTTAACTTGTTTACTATTTTGCCTTTTTTATATTTAAGTGTTTTTAATATCTTTATTACTATCAGCACCAAACTTGTCTATTTTCATCTACTGCTACCCGAACACTGCATTTCAAACCTTTTCCAGCCTTCTCGCCTCCTGCTGAGCACCTGGCTCCTAATGCCGTGCTGGTCTCGGTCTAGGCTGCAGTTCGCCTTCCGCGGACTCCGCCCTGCCGCGCCCCCTGCCCTCTAAGCTGACCCTCAAGTCCTCCTGCTGTTGCTGCTCTCTTTTGCGGGTTCCTCTGTGCGGAAAGATGACTCTCCCACAGCATTTCGCTTTACACTAGCTCCCCGGGAGGGCCTTCCTTGACCAATCCAGGGAAACCAGCTCTCTCTGCACTCTTTGCCCCTTACAATGTTCAAAGCAGTAAACGCTATTGTACGTTGTAAAACTACACGAGTCTTCGACACAGCTGCCTCTGTCCCCAACACGTACGTATGATAAAAGCCAACTCCCAGTTTCCTGGACCTGGACTTTCTTCTTTCCATTCATTATGCTTCCTCAGGCGGCCCAGGAAGTCAAACTTCCTCATACAAGGTTCAGCTTGTCTGCTCTGTGCCTTTGCTCAGCGAGCCCCACTCACAGGCTCCAAGTCTACCCATGCCCAAGGCTCAGTTAACACTGCAATCACAACTTCCGGACTGACACTCCTCCGAACTGCCCCAACTACTAATCTATAGCTTTAAAGGCATTGTTATTCTGCATTTATTTATTTCCTCCACTAATCAATGCGCATTAAATGCAAAATCTGTACACAGTTTGCTTCTTTAGACTTTTGTGTTACACCAAAAAAGGCAAATACTTGAGTATTTTTCTTAAATATCAGAAATTGGTTGAGGTGGCATGCAACAAAGAATTCAAACTATAATCCCAACATAATAAATTCTTAACTTCTTTGTTTCTTGTTTTTAAAATCTTACCCAATTTCTTTAGCTTTATAAAATTATAAAAAAATTTTTTTCTTAGTTTCTTAAATTTACTCATTTGCAAATTTTCACTTGGGTTCAAAATCATAGCTGTTTTCCTTAGTAGCTGTTAGCCCTTCCAAGTTTCAGCTGCCTCATCGGTAAAACGGGAAAAAAGTTTCAGCTGACAGCAGGGTAATTCTAACATTAAATGGAATTTTTAAAGATATACATAAAATCTCATGCAATGCCAGCAGCTACTGGGCTCTCAGCAAATGGGGCTATTGTTTCTACTCGTAAGAAGAATCTGACGTGTGAACTATGAAAAACAGGCTTAAAACAGATCAATAATAGAAATTTTATTTATTTTTATTTCATCAATAAATAAAAATAAAAATCATACATATTAATAGGGTAGCATTTGATGTTGCAATACATATCTACTCTGCATTCCAAAAAGGGCACACAAATGCCTCCTCCTAGGCTGCCGTTAAGTATCTTGGCATCCACTGATAAGCCCCTCCCCCCACCTTCCCCTTCAGTCTCCCTCTACTCATGCTGTCATCCCCATTCCACATCTCACTCTCCACTTTTATGGGATCAGCCTGACCCTGTGCATGAGTGAAATCGTGTGGTGCACACCTTTCTGTGGTTGGCCTCCTCCAATAATGACCTTCAGTTCAACCCATGTTGTAAAATAAATGCTAGTTTATTCTATATAATATATAAACACACACGAATACACACACACACACACACACACACACACACACACACACACAAAGTCACAAAGATATAGTCACAAAGATACTCCCAACTTGTACTTTGGTTAACTATAAACTCCTGCAGTGATTTTCAACAGAGGCATAATTTTGCATATGCTCATGCACTTTATTATTATTATTACTATTACTATTATATCCCCTCGTCCCTGCATATTTGGGTATGTCTAAAATGAAGAGAATGCCCAACATGAATTTTATGCTAACTTACAGACAAATTTGAACACTATTATTTGGCAGTGGCTTCCTTCAGAGCAGTCACTGTACTTCACTCCCTCCTAGTCAGACATTTCTAGCTTAGCACCTATTACAGTAACATTCATAAACATGAAATTCAAAGTAGTTAAACTATAAACAGAATATTTGCATTTATGAATTATGAATCCCACACAGGCTAGACTGCCAGCCCTTTTTCTTTCTTTTTTTTTTTTGTCTTTTTGAGACAGGGTCTGGCTCTGCAGTTGAGGCTGGCTTTGAGCTCATTCTTTAGCACATTCTGGTCTCAAACTTGCACCAATCCTCCTGCCTCAGCCTTCCGAGTGCTGGGATTACAGGCCTGGCTGACTGCCAATCTTTCCTGTAGCTGACATGCAGCAGCTTCTGTCTGATCGTCTCTCATGGTACAGATTTAGACATCTAATCACAGATAATCAAATCCATGACCTACGATACAATATACACAACTCTCCAGTTTCTCAGTACAACATAACTATAGCACTGTTTTGTCAAAGGATAAACAGTCATCATAAAACACAAGAATTCTGAATTCCCCACATGTAATCCGTATTTACAAACACCTCTCATGTTTGACTTTTATACCAACACTAAAAACAGTTGAGCTCTAAATCCTACATTAAAACTGGTTGCAAAGATTCACAGTATCCTGCCTCAACTGAATAATGGATCTAGCCCTGTCGTCTTCTGACTTTACCAATTCCTCTAAAATCAGTCACAAACCTCTTTGAAGGCTAAATTAAATTTATTCAACTAAAAAAATGGAAAAAATAATAGTTGTTCTAGTTACTTAACTGAACTCTAGTGAATTATTCTAAAGCTCAGAGTAGGACAACACTAAAATACTACTTGGAAACCGGATGTGGTGGCACAGGCTGTCATCCCAGCACGCTGTGAGGCTGAGGTAGTTCTGCAGGTGCAAATGTGGTCTGGGCCTGCTCAACTAGAAAATAAAAGGGCCGGCTGCAGCTCAGTGCAAAGGCCCGGAGCCCAGTCTCCAGCACAAAACATGGAAGGGTGGAGGGTGGGCGGTTCCTCAGTAAATCCTTAAGAAACACACACATTTCTACATACACACACACACGTACATGTGCATAAATGTCACATTTCCCCAAACCACCTGATTAACTTGAATCAGTATAAAATCTTCCTGCTTGTTTTCGGTTCTTACTTGGTGGGGCTCAGAGTCCCCGGAAACTCTAACCAAGAGAAGATGAGACAGGAGGCTCCCCCTTGGGCGCAGCAGGCTAGGGAAGCCTGAAGGGCAGGACTGGCAGACCTTACAGGGACGGGGACGTGGCCGCACACTCAGCAGAAGCCCCTCTCTCAGCAGAGAGCTCAGCCTGGTCATGTTTCCAACTTCCGTAAACATAGTCTTTACGTTCATTTGTATGTGCCACGTAAGCTACCCTCTAAACGTTCAGCCGCCTAAGGCATGCTAACTCCCTCTCCCTTAGGAAGAACCTCGCCTCTAACCCTCTGCCTCTGACCCTTACACCAAGAGAAGAATGTACAGAGCAGCACATGTGCAGGCAGACTAAGCAGTCTGCAGTCTGGCTTCCTAAAGCGACAGAAACGCCACCAGTCACCTCAGCAGCAGACTTGACCTCTTCTGTGTCTGGAATGGAGGCGCCAAGGGCTGTCCCACTGCCGCAGTCAGACATACCTAAAAACGAATGTGTTGGGCACACATTAAGTAACTCGTCAAGAGGGCTGGGTCGGCCTGCTGACAGTTTTACCGCTACCCACAGTGCGACTAATTTATCTGTAGTCAGAATTTTCTTTTCAGAGCTATCTAGACTTTATGAATATCTATTAATCACAACAGGTAAAGAATTCTAAAAGCAAATAAAAATTCAGAAAAAACATTTGCACAGAATAATCAATAATTTGATAAAAATCATTTAGATATGAAGCAATTTAAAAAGACTAGACTATCATATGATTAGACATATAAAAATCAAAATATTAGTTATTTGTGGCTACACAAATCAAAGTCTGAAACCAAAATTCAGACCTCTTCCACTTTGGTGGGCAGCAGCCTTTACCACTGAAAACAATGTGCTCGGGGTGAATGGTTTGGGGGTAACAATGTGCAATGTATGTATCATTGCTGCCCCTGAATGATGTGCTTTGAAATTTTTAGGGCTTTTTTTTATCCTTGAAATAAAATGGATTTTATTTTTAAAAAAAATGTGCTACTCACTGTCAAAGAGAAACAGGATATACTCAGATTTCACTCAGTAACAGTTTAATGACCAACTTCTGCTACTGATTCATTCAATATCATTTGGAGAACATCAACTCTATATGAAGAACTGTTAGGCACTAAAGGCAAAGAAAAATAAAATGTAGTTCAGGGTCTAAAGGTACCCTCAATCTTACCACAGAGACAGACACACAAAGAATTATAAAATGCCATATTAAAAGCTATAAAGCAAAAATCCAAATTTTTACTCTTGAAGTACAGTGCTTACAAACAGAATATAATACCACATAAGAAATTAATAGATGACTAATTGCAAGTTACAGGATTGTTTTCAAATAGGAAATCTATTGGGGTTGGGGACTTAGCTCAGCGGCATAAGTGCCTGCCTTGCAAGCAGGCAGTTGTGAGTTCAATCCCCGGTACCGATAAAAAGGAAAAAGACAAAAAAAAAGGAAATCTATTAATACATAGTATATTTGTACACCTAAGGGGAAAAAGATCTCTGTACACACTGGGATAAGAATGTATTTGGCATCAGCACTTACTACAAATTAAACTCAAGGAAATAGGAATATAAGAGATATTTTCTCAACATGTGTGTGTGTTTTAGATCTACAACTATTATATTATTTAATAAAGAAAATAAGGATACATTTCAATAAGATCAGGTACAAGGGAACGATCTTTCCTACTATTTAACACTGTACTAGAAGTATTAACTAGTCTGACTAGTTAACAGAAATCAACTAAAGGAATAAAAGCTACAAAAGAAGTAAAACTATCTACATTTGCAGATATAGTACATTTAACAACCACAATTAACAAATGATAAAACTAATTCAAAAATAAAAGGTGTAAGAATAGACAGCCTTCATATACAAACACAACAGTCACGGGGACACACTAGCAGGAAAACCCCATTTACAATCAGCAACAAGGAAGAATAAATACTTAGGAACAAACCATGTGTAAAACCTGCATGTGAAAAATTGTAAACATCACTGAAAGACATTAAAGATTTGCACAAATGGAAAGTCATCCTTGTTCTTGGCTAGAATAATACCATTCCCTAAGAAAGCATCAGGTGATTTAAAAATGCATACATACAGCATTGTTCTTTAAAATTATAAATACCAAAAACAACCTATGTGTATATTTAGGAAGGTGACCAAATAAACAGCAGAACAGCTAAACTATGCCACTGTGTAAAGAAAAAAAGAGAATATAAGCTGGAGACATAGTGCAACAGCACAAGAGCCTTCCTGGCAGGCGCAAAGTCGTGAGTTCAGTCCTCAACAGAGACAGAGACAGAGACAGAGAGAGACAGAGAGAGAGACAGAGAGAGAGAGAGACAGAGAGAGAGAAGAGAGAGAATGTAAATGGAGAAAAAGAGAAGAGGGCAATGTTTATGATACGGGCGACTCTCAGGACATACAGCACCCCTCTTCCACTCACAGTTTAACTTCCTGTGGTCAATTATGGTCTGAAAATATTTAATGAAAAGTTCCAGATATACGTAATTCCTAAGTGTTACATGACATCCTGAACAGTGTGATGACGTTTCGGTCCATCTGCTCTGTCCTACAGCGATGCCAACCATCCCCTTGGTCACCACATACACACTGTATTTGCTGCCCACTCTGCAGCTATCTCCTACCCACTAGTCACTCAGTAGGCGTCTCTCTTGTCAGATTGTCTTCTGTGCTATCACAGTGCTAATGTTAAAAGAACCCTGACTTTATTTCGTTATGATCGCAAAGCACAAGAGTAGTAGGGCTAACAATTCAAATATACCAAGAATTCACAGTTCTTCCTTTATGTGAAAAGATGAATATCATAAGGAATTTTGAGAAAGAGACTACTTCATAAAATTTTCCCTGTAGTAGACTGTTATAATTACTCTGTACTATTAAGTTGTTACTGTAATTTATAACTAAAAAGAAAAAATACAGTACATACAGAGTTCAGTATTACCAAGATTCAGGTATCTTGGTAGTATCTTGAGGAATCTGGAATGTATTTCCCATAGAGAGGGGGACAACTGTACTGTTAGTTTTCAAAAATAAAGTACAGAAAACAGCTACACTACGCAAGCACAAAGTGGGACATTATGAAAACATGTTGCACTCACTGAAAGAAAAGCAGCACAGAAAAGGAAACCAGAAATAAAAGCAATGCGTCACCTGGAAGGGGAAGAGAGGCAGGTAAAGGGGGAGACGAAGCGAATGAGAGCAGGGTAGCAGGCCTACGGAGACAGTGAAATGCCTCTCAATGTATTTTTACTAATTCAGACTCTCAGAGCCATGGTGTTCTTCAATAGCCTTTTAAAAAATGGTTTTAAAATACCAAACAATTACAAACAACCAGGATATGATGAGGACTCAAAAGGGAAAAACACAAGAACGTGACTATTATACAGTAATTTTAGAAAGAAGACAAGAAAAGGAAATAAAACATACATCACAACTGGGTTTCTCACAGAGAAAGAAGGAATAAAAAACAAACTAGACATGCTAAAAGGAATCCTGTGGTGTAAGGCTAGAATCAGAGGTATCAGTATAAACAAGACCTGAATATATGTGGGACAGAAAAAGAACAGTAGAAAATCTGATTTAATTCTAATAAGATCTGTAGTTTGGTAACACTGTATCAGTATTAACTTCCACGCTAATTTCCTACTCTTGACAATTATTGCTATGGCAAGTGTTAGCATCAGGGAATGGCAGTAAGAAATATACAGGATATATACAGGATATTACTCTTGTGACTGTTCTACGAGTCTAAAATTAGAACAAAATAAAGTTTTTTAAAAAACATTAAGAAACAGTTCCAGGAAGATGGCAGAGCTGTAAACTGTAGTAAATCAGCCTCTCGGAGATTCAGAATCCAGACACTGGAAAATAAGCACCTGGAGAAGGATAGAGGAGTGGATGTCTGGGGCCCAGGAGGGCTGACGTGAAGGGAAACTGGAGCCCACAGAGAGACTGGCGACAGACCACACACAGAAACAGGAAGAGACTACCTGCATTTTCTCTCAGCCCTGGCTCCAGGCAGGAGGAAGTTCAAACCTGCAGAGACACGGTGACAGCAGGGGACCAAGCTGGCGAGAGTGACTGGGTAGGCGCCAGCCGCACCTGGACTCAAGAGCTTTGGGTCGGCTTCCAGGGTTAAAACTCCCACAGCCACTGAGTGAAGAACAGCCACGGGAGCTGGCCAGGGTTGGGGAGCCGGGGTGAGGCCGGAAAGAGACACCCCGAGAGCTCTACACCCCACCCCATGACCAGAGGCCAAGTTCAGCCTGAATTCCTGCGGATTTGTGGGTCTCAAACTGGCACACGGCCCTAATCCTACAGCCGGCTTGCTGAAATCATCCAGGCGGAGCTGGGAGGTGATGGCCTCCCGCGTCCACCACTGAGAACAGAGTCACAACTTGAATCACTCACTGCCACAAAACTGTGGAGGCCAAAAGATAACCACAGGCTTGAAATCACAGAGAAATTTCTTTTCTTTGCTTTTCCCCCTTTGCTGTTAGTTGTTCTTTTGTTGTGGCTGTTCCTTTTTTTTTCTTTTCTTTTTTAATTGCTTGTTTTTGGTTTTTTGTGTGTATGAACACTGTTTGGTTCATTTTTCTCCTTTTTCCTTCCTGTTTTTTTCATCAGTTTCCTAGGGCTTGGGAAATCTTTTGTCCAGCAGTGTTGTTTCTAATCTTTTTCTTCTTTTATTTCTCTTTTCCTTTAAACTTTTTCCCATTAAGTAAAACTGCTCTATTGAGCAGATATTTACTATATGTAATTTTCTGATTTGGCATAATTTTATTATAACTGTAAATCCTGTACCCAGGGTTAAAGGTGGCAAATTATTAGTCATCACAGTCTGCCATTTTCCAGTCTGTTTGATGCTACTGTTATTATTGATTGCACTATTTCAGCCAAGGTGACACAGTCGTTGTGATCAACTGTCCTTGTTTGTATGCCAATACCTAGCTTGTCTGAGGGTAGGGTCATAAACAATAAGTCCATTATCAAAGAATTGAGTGGTAGCCAAACAGATGGCAACATTTCATCCCTACAAACAGAATAGCAGAGTCCTGGGACAGACTCAAAGGCAAAAAGCCAGCTACATCTGGGAGGCATCTGTAAAAAGTAGTCATTTACTTAAGCGTTCTCGATACCAGTAATAAAGCTACCTACTAAAAGCAATTTACAAGCTTTGTTGCAAAAAAACAAATAAACAACAACATAGAAAATGAGAAAACACAAAAGCAAGCTGCAACCCAACACTGCCCAAGTTACCTAAGGTAAATCCAGGGGCCACAGAAGTGGAAGAAACCAAAAGCCACTCAGCTGAAATTTCTGAAATGGTAGTAACAGAAGTAACAAAACAGATGCATAACTCTCTTGAAAAAACCAAACCAGAGATAATTAAAGAAATAATTAACACAGACAATTAAAGAAATAATGACCATAATGAAGGAAATGGTAAAGGACGGTATACACAGATTTAAAAAAGAAAAGAGAGAGAGAGTATAAGCTCAAAAAAGACAGGGAAACCCTGAATGTATGCCACAAAACAGATTCAAATGGATAGCCAGGAGATTAAAAATTCTACTGAAAGTATACACAGCAAAAATCAACCAATGTGAAGACAGACTATCAAATCTAGAAGACAGATCTAAAAGATAGTGGTTGGGGATCATCAAATGCAAGACTTCTTAAAAATAGCAAGGGACCACAAAAAATTTTCAATCCAATATCTGCTAGATGATGTAAAAAAAAAAAAGAATAATATAAGAATAACTGAATCAATAAAAAATAAAATAGAATAAGGGACATAAAAACTTGTTCATGGAAGAGAAAAATTTTCAAACATGGAAAAGAGAATTTGATAGATAAGTGAGGCATATAGAACCTTAAATAGCCATGATCAGAAAAAATATACCAAAGCATATTTAATAATCAAGATTCCAGAGATTCAACAAAAGAGCAGGTTATTAAAAGTTGTTAGAGAAAAGAAACAAGTTACCTATAAGGAAAAACCCATTAGAACTACAGCAGACTCCAACACAAACCCTTAAGTTAAGGAGAGATTGGAATAAAGCATTTAAAGCCCTAAAATAAGA